ACCAACCAACCAACCAACCTTTAACTCTAATTTTAACCTCTTAGTAATCCTATCAAAACACAGATATATACCATCAACTAAACTTTATGCATACTTCAATTATACCTCCAACTAGTCATGTATTAGTTTCAAAAAAAAAAAAAAAAAAGGTGACTATTAACAAATAGCCACTGAAGATAAATGACCTGAAAATCACAAAAAAAAAAAAAAATCTGTTAAACTGTAAAAACAGATAATATTTACGAACAAAATTGGCACGCCAAAATTGTCTGTTTATCAATTTCATTTTTCCAGCAACAAAAAAAAATAAGATTCAATAAACTTAAACTTTTAAAATGCTAAATTTCAAATCCAACAATAATTATTTCAATAATCAAGCAATTAACTTTTTTTTTTTTATTCCTTATTTTGCAGAATACACGTTCAGAAATTCTTGTAGACATTGAACTATTACGTTAGGCAATAATCACACAACATTTCTGGTCACTATAAGAGAATAATAAAATTTGATAATTTTTTACACCGGCAACTCTCCCTGATCTTCTTTTATTAATTTTAAAATTAGGCACAGCTTTAAAGCATAAAAGAATAAATTTTTTTTAATGCCTTGATAAACCCAAAAATATCATCGTCTTGTTTCAATTTGATAGTCTCGTTCCATTTGTTAACCCCTACTTTCTATCTGATTAAATTAATACATTTAACATGTATCGATGAGCTTTTGAACCAAGCCAAAGCCAGCATTACTAGCAACTACTTATAACTGCTCATAAATCTTTTTTCCTGAAAGAGTATCAAAGACAGTAGAAAAACCAATGCAAAAATTAAATATTTCATCCGTTTTAACAGCTTATCTATAAATGATATGAAAATTTTGCTCAATGTAATTTCTGCCAAACAATTCCATAATGCTTTTTATGGTTATAGATCAACCAACTTCAAGAAGATAGTATCCTAAAAACAGCCACTTTTAGGGCAAGAGAAACGGTTAGTATCAGCACACTGCTGTTGTTACTGAAAATTAAAATACAAAAAAATAATTGGATAGAACAGTTGACATCACATATAAAGA